TTAGATCCTCAGCAACTTCTCTAACGGTGATTCGACGATTGGCCAATACTATTTTCTTCACTTCATCAATGTTTTCGACTGTTATTGACGTGCTCCGGTGTCTAACAAGCTCTTCTTCGTTCACGTCTTCTCGCCCCTCTCACCGTATGCATCAGACAACGTTCGGAATGCGTCCGCACATTTAATTTTGTTTTTCACACAAATTTTGATACAGATTCTTTGATACTTTTTTTGGAATAGGCAAAAATCGAAGATGAACCAAAGCACGTGCAAGCAAATCAGCTATCAAACATTAACTGAACATTCAACATGACCTAACTTGTCGATATAAATGAGAGGCATGAAAAAAACGCTTTCAAAAAATCGAAAATCGAATATACGTAACCCGCGGAAATTCAAAATTCTCGATATTTTTTGAACAGATCTCGTATATAAACCATATGTCAACCACAGTATCAATGAAGTATACCCCTTTTCAAGGGACCAACCTTGAAAAATACTGATGACAGAAGGTGCAACGTTGATGTGGGTTTTACAATCAATATACGTACTTTAAATCCCTTATTGTGGCTTAATTTCCAATTACAAATAACGAAGACTACAAACACATTATAAATCATTCGAGAGTTAATAAGTTACTTTCAAATTTCCATTTCCTTCGGTTTTAACCTGTGCGAGAAATGGACTGACCGATTGCGAGCCTTGCACAACAGCGCTTAAACTCAAGGTTGCAAGTTAATTGACTTTTTAACGAAATTAAACAAAAAACAAACGTTTCATCATCAGCTTTCATCATACTTTTTGATTTCGATTCATAATACAGACTCTGGAAGACAAGTTGAGGCCTGTATGTCTTCACAAATAATTTAATTCTTTGAGAACATTTAAAAATAACTCGTACGCAGAAAAAGTAGCGAAATGTGTACTTAGTAAATATTTATAAAACTTCAACTTAATTAATGCACTTTGTACCTGTATGCTTATATTAGTTAGCGGTTTTTATATCAGAATCAACCAGCAAACGATTTCACGCATGTGCCTATTTTTTACGTCATTTCAGTAATTATTAGTAATTTTTGTAATAATATTTTAGAGGGATTAACTATTACAACCACGACTCACCTAGCGACTAGCCGCTAATGGTAAATCTCGGAGGATAAATTTTCTGGATATGATTAATACACCCTATTCACATACTATATATTCATCATAATCATCATCATCATCATCATCACAAAATCGTCAGTCCTAAGACTGGTTGGACACGCACTTCCACTCTTTCCTATCTTTCGTATTTCCCTTAAACTAGAACATCCCACATCTTTAACCATATGCAAACAGTAATCTAATCTAGGTCTACATCTACTCCTCTTCAATCCTGTCTCTATCTTTAATGTGTTTCTGACTAGATATTCCTGCCTGAGAAGGTGTCCTACGAACTTATCTCGCCAATTTTTTTTGACTTCCATGGAGTCCTCTGTTCTCCTAACCTTTCTATCTCTTCATTTCTAACCCCTCTATCCACGGTATCCTCATCAATAGCCTGTTACAACACATTTGAAGGCTAACCCAACCTAACCTAACCTTTTCTTTTTCCCCATTCCCACCGTTTTTGTTCCGCATCCAAGCATCGGCGCGCTCCAAACACCTTTGACAATCATTTTAGAATTTTGTAAAGTGACCGTGTGCTCTTTTTTACTGAAAGCGACTCAACCCTGCGCTATACTCTGCTGTATATCCCTACTACTCTTTCCGTCCTGACCTATCTGACTTCCGAGATACCTAAAATCAGCCACTCCTAATAGTCGTCTCCTGTCTTCATATTCACTCTTTCCCTACTTTTTCTTCCCTTTCATACAATGCTGTTTTGTCAATGCCGCTTCCATTTTATTTAATCCTATCTCTAACTCCGCTAGACGCTAGTACTGCTATATCATCTGCAAATCTAAGCATACTAATATTTTGCCCCTATATATCTATTTCTACAGTTGTACTGTGTTTAATGATGTTGATCGCGTCTTCGATGTATAGATTAAAAAGTAGCAGTGAGAGTGTGCATCCCTGTCTGACTTCCTTCCTAATATTTATTTTTCTACTTTGCAGTTCCAGATCTATAACTGCTTGTTGCTCTTTATACAAAATTAAGTATCACTCTTCTATAACTGTAAGTAATTCCTACATTTTTATGTATATTTAACACCTCGTCCCATTTAACATTATCAAAAGCTTTTTTCTAAATCTACAGAGGCTATGTATACACTCTTTCCTTTTACTATCGTTTTCTGTATTATTACCTGTAAAGCTAGAGTGGCCTCCCGGGTTCCTCTATTTCTTCTAAATCCAAATTGATCTTCCCCTAATAGTTTTTCCACCCTTTTTTCTGTCCTTCTCCGTACAATTCTAGTTAAGATTTTTGACGCGTGGGAAATTAAGCTAATTGTCTCGTACCTATCCGTGCCTTTCTTTTTAGGTATGGTTACTACCATGTTCCGGTTATAATCCTCCAGGGCTTTCCCCGTCTCATAAAAGCGACTAACGAGCTTAAACATACGATCTCTAACCTCTTGTCCTGCATGTTTTAGAATTTCTACCTGTATCCCATCTATACCTGGTGCCTTATTATTTTTTAATGCTAAATGGAACTCTTTTCTCATTATGGGATAACCTAGCTCATCTATCTCCACACTATCTTCCTTCTCTAATATACAGATATTAACGATATTTTATGACAAAATTGGCAAAAGACAAACACATTTGCTTTTAGAAACGGCCGTGTACCCCCTGACCTTCTGCACCAGTCGCAACTAATGCATAATATAACTAATAAATGTAGTTTGCAGAAAATTACTCACCGTGGCATAATTTCTGTTTTAAGGTTGCGACTAATACGATTAAGACAGTAGCCTTTGGCGTTTTATTGTTATTAGTTAGGTACTTAAATAGATAATTACTACATAAACCGTTACATTCATTAACAACTCCATCGAATAGAATATATATTTTACATCCTTTTTGTAGATAACTCCCTTACCCTTCTGGCAGCATTACCGACCAGAACCGTCATCGGTTTGCTTTCACTTCATTACAAAAACAAAAAACCTGAAAATTAATTAATGTAAATGTTCGAAAAAAGATGGAAGGTCTTTAGCCAATGTAAAATTATAATTTATTACGAATTCAATAAACCACTTTAACTTACGCGGGTCATCGCATAGCAGTCCGAAACGGCATTTAGCAGGCAGACACATAGCAAAAAACTTGAAACAAATACCGAAGTTACTGTTTTGCATAAAGAAAAGAAGGCAAATGGTAACTCACAGGGGGAAGTGCATTCCCCATCCAGACCTTTAATAAAAACCCCATCTCTCCATATTAAATCTATATATACAAAAGAAAGTCGTCTTAGTTACACCATTTATAACTCAAGAACGGCTGAACCGATTTGGCTGAAAATTGGTGAGGAGGTAGCTTACAACCGGGAGAAGGACATAGAATGCTTTTTATCATGTTCCACGAGAACTGACATGGAATGACAAAACGCAACTGACAGCTAAACGTAATGTTGTCTATGTTAAGAATGGTGTTTTATTTATAGTCAGATTTACCTGAAACTAGGCTTTAATGCATACATACCTATTTCAACATTTTACAAAATTCTACCTCTTTGGGAAACGGAAAGGGGTTTGCTAAGATTGCATGTTTGTTTTTTGTTTTACTTGAAACTGATTAAAAAATTAAAAAACTCAATCTCTGTTGGGGGTGTTGAGTGGTGAAAAGGAGTTGCAATGTTTAAATGGAGCATATATTATTTGTGGTCAGATTTACTTGAAACATAGTCTTAATGGTCTCTCATTTAATCTCTGAAAAACCTATCTCGACATTTTAAAAGGTGTTGCAATTTTTGTTTGGGGCATACTTTGTTTGTGGTTGAATTTACTTGAAACTTGGTATATATGCTGTTTGATATTATTAATCAAATGAAAAGAGGTTTCAACGTTTCCATGGGGTATATTTTATTTTACTCCGATTTACTCAAAGGTTTCTCATTGTTGAAATTAAGTAAATACGTGTTTTGGCAATCATTAAAAATCAACCCTTAAGGATGAAATGTTGTTGCTACGTTTGTATTTGAAATCTAACATAAAATTAAGACGTTGTGAGGGTGAATCGGGAGTTAAAAGGTTTTATGGAGAAACAATACTAATTTCTGCGAGCGAAGCCGCGGGGAAAAGCTAGTATATATAAAAAACCATAATCTTCAGAAATGATTTGGTGTGAGAACAGCAAATCATGTCAACCGGGCATGTAGGGCCCCTCTCCTACATGTCTCTGCTCCGGAGGAACCACATCCTCAGAGAGGACGGGATTTAGCGCCGGGGGGTTGCACCACACAGATGCATAAATTACCACACAGGTAAAACAACGCAATTGCACCACACAGGTGCTAAACAGAGGTGTACACTTACAGTATATGCAAAACAGTTCTGCACACAGGCTTGGCCAAAACAATACTGACTCAAAATAAGACAAAATATATCCGTGCCTGCCCGGTTACTTACCTCATTAAAGGAATAATTAATAGATGAACCCAATATTCATTACTATTGTATCTTTTCCTATTCGTCTTGTCCCATTTAACTTTGCAAAAGCTTTTTCTAAATCTACGACCCCTATGTACGCACACTTTCCTTTTTCTGTCGCTTTCTCTATTATTACCCTTATTAATGCCCTCCCGCGTACTTCTATTTGTTCTTCAATAATAAAATTATAATAAACCCTGGTTTTTTTTACGACTTCACTCTGAGTGTTCTTCTTACGAATGCTTTCAGAGAGATTGCAGCTCCACGCGTCGTGTAACTTAAGACTTAATATAACAATGTCATTTTTCTTTTAAAACTGATAAATAGTGACGTGTGCTCAAGTATATAGGAGCCAGGAAAGAACACATTTTACGTAGAAAGAAAAATTAACGGCTAATAGTTATAAAAAAATGTACTTACAATAACTGGTATGTGATTGAAGAGGTAACACACGGTTAAAACAGGATACATGGTTTGCAATCCGGTTCCATCAGGATCCTCTTCTTTCAACCGCTGTCCATGTTCATTCAAACACGGCCTCCTACTATTCGAAGAGCTCACTGTAGCAGAAGGATCACTGGACCAACCAATATTGGAATTCGACACTTGCCCGTTGCTATGGTTTTCACAACAATTTCCGTAACCGTCAATGTTGCACCCCTTGTGAATGGTATAAGTGTCATAAGTGCCTTTGCCACCTTGCAAGTTTTCGTTAACATTGACCATACTGGCCAAGCTAAGGTCACTAAGGTCCGATGCCGATTTTTTTAAGTAGCTAAAGTTCTTTCGTCGTACCCTCACCACAATAATCAGGATCCAAATAAGGCAACTACCAGAAACCACGGTCAAAAATACGTGCAACGTTAAAATGAACACGCTGTATTTAACGTCTAATTGAAATGGCATGAAAAGACACTGCGTGTAAACATTTTGATAGGCATCTTTTAAAAAATCGAACCCCGTGTTGGTAGCATTGTGAGAAGATGGAGGAATCTCTTGAGCCAAGATGGCGGCTACACCTACGCAAGCGCAGAGAGTAGTGAGGCAGAACATGTGATAGACGATGTGAGTGCGCATCAGGTACTGTCGAATACTCAGTTGTTTAGTTTCTAGTTTTGTAGAGAAAAGAGCTATCACTGCTAATGTTGTCAAAGAGCTCGCTTGGAATGTGTGGACGCTGTTAAAAATCCACACGGTGCCACTGCAGACCTGAAAGAACAAGAAAGGTAACAAAACTGTATTCAGAAATCTGTATGTGCGTATATGCTACACTTTTAAATATCGACTGCTAAATAACCTGACTAAGTACGAAAAACATCCAAAATTTAATAAAATAATTCGAAGTGACCAGTATTCGGTCGAAACTGCCTGACGCGGATCGCGATTTCGATCTTTTTTGGATCTTATCACCGCGTCGCAGGCAGCTCCGACAGAACACAGACTAACTTTTACCTGCTGTCTTAACAGTGCGTTTACAGAATACAGACGACTTCGACTTGTTTTATTTGATTATGGTAACGTGCCTATCACGTTGAGGTTGGCTACGCCGGGATTAGTTTTCAGCAAGTAGATATCCACACAAGTGGACCTTGTTGGAGCATACGTATTCCTAAAATGCAGCATCGTGCTACAGATGGCGTTTACTGCGCCATTTGACAGCAGGTAAAAGTTGGTCTGTGTTCTGTCGGAGCTGCCTGTGACGCGCTGATGAGATCCAAAAAAGATAGAAATCGCGATCCGTGACTGGCAGTTTCGACAGAATACAAACCGCTTCGAATTATTTTATTCGATTATGGTAACGTGCCTATCACGTTGAGGTTGGCTACATCGGGATTCGTTTTCAGCAAGTAGATATCCACACAAGTGGACCTTGTTGGAGCATACGTAATCCTAAAATGCAGCATCGTGCTACAGGTGGCGTTTACTGCGCCATTTGTGCTATTTTCTTCCAAAATTTACTTTTTTGTAGTCCCATTGATTGAATCGATCGGGCTCAATTTAATGAAATTTCTTCCAATTCATGTTGACGTTAATTAACATCTATTGCTATTCTATAATTACATTAGAAACCATGCAGTAGCAATATTTTCTCGGAGTCTTCCCGAAATTTACAGTAAAACCATCTCCCGTCAACGCCCGTCGCGTCCTCAGTCACATCTCCTACCCGCGCTAGGTTCCGTTGCGTCTCACTCTTCCTTGCAATATTTTTCGCGAACGCGTTTGGACGTGTTTTTATTGTATTTATGGATTACTCGCGTTTCAATTTTACTCCTCCTTTTGAAAAAACGATTTTTCTAAACTCCTTTTGCAAGTGCGATTGACTTTCAGTGAAAAACACTAATGGGTAAATCAATCACAAGCGGAGGGTTAGTCAAACCCAAGGCCAGGTTATTAAGGCCTTAAATCAAACCACAACCGTCTCCAAAAGTAAGTCGCTTGATTGAAAAGGGGTGAGAAGATAATAACACTAGAGCATACCGGCCTCAAGGATACTGAAATAACAACACCTTTTTGCAATGATCTCAGTCTTCGGAATTTATTACAAAACACCCTTCTGCTTAACAGGGATCCAGTTGATCCCAAGCAAAAATTATGTAGACACAGTTATTACACCCAAGACTAAATGGAGCCATATGAAAAATAAAATTGAAGCAACGTTAATATATTCAGACTTAATTCTCCAACGTTTTTAATTGAAAACGTCAGTGGGTGGATAATACAACAGCAATACGATATATAATAAACAGATCAATCGACTTACCTTAAGGAAAATTGATCTATATTATAGGAGTATTGCATTTCGAAGAATTACAACACACCCTTCAAATCAAAATATATTCCTCTTGTAAATATTAATCTGAAAATTCATTACTAATTTTTATCCACTCATTAATTTGAGGTAATTTATCATCACCATCATCATAAGGCCATCAGTCCTAAAACTGATTGGACACGCACCTCTACTCCTTCCTATCCTAAGCGCATTTCCCACATCCTTAACTATTTGCGAACAGAAATCTAATCTAGGTCTATCTCTACTCGTCTTATACCAGAGAAAGTGTCCTACTAACCTATATCGCCTATTTTTTACTGACTTTCATAGAATCTTCTGTTCTCCTAGTCCTTCTAATACCTCTTCATTTCTAACCTTCTCTATCCACGGTATCCTCATCATTCACCGGTAACACCACATTTCGAACGCTTCTAACTTTATTTGTCGAATTTTAAATTAATCGTTCGCGAGCATAGAAGTGACTTCTTTTTATTGAACTCGACCCTGTACTATCCTCTCTTTTATAACCCTACTACTCTTTTCGTCCTGACCTATCCGACTTCCTAGATACCTAAAGTGGCTGCATCTTCTAATTTTTCGTCTCCTATCTTATATTTGCTTTTTCCCTACTTCTCTTGCATACTAGTATTTTTGTTTTACTTTAATTTATTTTCATATANTTTTATAACCCTACTACTCTTTTCGTCCTGACCTATCCGACTTCCTAGATACCTAAAGTGGCTGCATCTTCTAATTTTTCGTCTCCTATCTTATATTTGCTTTTTCCCTACTTCTCTTGCATACTAGTATTTTTGTTTTACTTTAATTTATTTTCATATAATACTGTTTTATCAATACCTCTTTCATTTTATTTAAAACTATCTCTAACTCCTCCTTGCTAGTTGCTAATACTGCTATATCATCTGCAAATCTAAGCATACTAATCTTTTGCCCCTGTATATCTATCCCTACAGTTGTATTGTCTTTAACGATGTTGATCGCGTCTCCGATGTATAGATTAAAAAGCATCGATGACAGTGTGCATCCTGACTCACTTCCTAATATTAAAAATGAATTTTCACATTAATATTTAGTATGTATTAACCTCTAGGAAATGTAATGTGTTTCTTTTATAAGTAAGTACTTATTAAGGATAAATAATTTCCTACCTCCATGCTCATATTAGCCTGCCTGACCACCAACCAGGACGTGTACACTACAGAGGCCACGTTTCTAAGAATACTTTGTACAATTATGGAGACAATCACTATATCGTACGGTCCCCATTTTCTTCGATTTTTGTGAAAAATGGCAATCGTCCATATCAGAATAAACGTCACAATCGGTACCCCTATTAAAATGGCCAGTTTTTCATCAGAATACTTTAACATGATGAGGAAATCTGAAAAGATAGAAAAGAAAAAGTTAGTTCAATCGATTTAATTAATTAGCCAATCTTCAAACCTTAAAGACAAGAAAAGTCTACCTTTTTGGATATATAGGAATCACTAATTTTATTAGTTAAAAATAATGCATCCCTACTAGAATTTTGAGGAGGGTGCAGGTTGGGTCTCTAAGTGGGGAGCCACACTACCTCTTGTGGGCCCCATGAGATTGGACCCTAGGGCAAAGAAGGGGCATTTAACGCCTTGTCGCATTTGCGCATCATCAGGAATGCCGCATGTGTTCCCGCGGGGAAACATTATTGCTATTGCCATAAAATACTTTTGGAAAAAATAATTTTATTATTAATGAAAAAAATACAAAATTGAATAAGAAATATACTTTCCCAATGAGAAACTGTTCATTTTTACATATGTAGAAAAGGTATAACATATATTATTTNGTTTTACTTTTATTTATTTTCATATAATACTGTTTTATCAATACCTCTTCCATTTTATTTAAAGCTATCTCTAACTCCTCCTTGCTAGTTGCTAATACTGCTATATCATCTGCAAATCTAAGCATACTAATCTTTTGCCCCTGTATATCTATCCCTACAGTTGTATTGTCTTTAACGATGTTGATCGCGTCTCCGATGTATAGATTAAAAAGCATCGATGACAGTGTGCATCCTGACTCACTTCCTAATATTAAAAATGAATTTTCACATTAATATTTAGTATGTATTAACCTCTAGGAAATGTAATGTGTTTCTTTTATAAGTAAGTACTTATTAAGGATAAATAATTTCCTACCTCCATGCTCATATTAGCCTGCCTGACCACCAACCAGGACGTGTACACTACAGAGGCCACGTTTCTAAGAATACTTTGTACAATTATGGAGACAATCACTATATCGTACGGTCCCCATTTTCTTCGATTTTTGTGAAAAATGGCAATCGTCCATATCAGAATAAACGTCACAATCGGTACCCCTATTAAAATGGCCAGTTTTTCATCAGAATACTTTAACATGATGAGGAAATCTGAAAAGATAGAAAAGAAAAAGTTAGTTCAATCGATTTAATTAATTAGCCAATCTTCAAACCTTAAAGACAAGAAAAGTCTACCTTTTTGGATATATAGGAATCACTAATTTTATTAGTTAAAAATAATGCATCCCTACTAGAATTTTGAGGAGGGTGCAGGTTGGGTCTCTAAGTGGGGAGCCACACTACCTCTTGTGGGCCCCATGAGATTGGACCCTAGGGCAAAGAAGGGGCATTTAACGCCTTGTCGCATTTGCGCATCATCAGGAATGCCGCATGTGTTCCCGCGGGGAAACATTATTGCTATTGCCATAAAATACTTTTGGAAAAAATAATTTTATTATTAATGAAAAAAATACAAAATTGAATAAGAAATATACTTTCCCAATGAGAAACTGTTCATTTTTACATATGTAGAAAAGGTATAACATATATTATTTCATTACTTTCGACACTAACATTAAGATAAACCATTTTTTTATTAATATCTATGATTAGCGATATTTTCATTATTTGCAGAAACTATAGGTAAATTTCTAAATATTTAACATCGCATGGATACGTATAAAGAGATTTTGTTTTTCGTAGTAGTTTTCCACAAATTTCAATACAATTTATATCTCCAAGAATATACGAGGGCGGTTCAATAAGTACCCGTGCTTGAAGACTGAGGGAAATTGGTGTTGTCATCGTGTGCTGCCATCTATCAAACCACACCAAAACGAATTTCAGACTGATTGATAGGTTAGTTTGGATTACGCAGCCATTCGACTGAGACGTGTTTCGTTATTTTCGCTAAGATGGAAAAAGAGCAGTATCGTTCGGTAACTCGCTTTTTGTTTTTGGATGGGAAAAAATGCGAGGAGATGAAAACAAAGTTGGATACTGTTTATGGAGACATTTCGCCATCTACGACCACAGTTAGATATTGCTTCAACGAATTTAAACGTGGGCAAAGATCCGTTTTTGATAGGAGCGACCAGGAAGCCTGGCAAACGTTGTTACCGAGGAAATCATTTTACGGATTTTTTAGGAAAAGGAAGAACGATCACTGGACAATACTACAGTGAGTTATTGGACCGCTTCGACAAAAAATTGAAGGAGACACGGACGCATTTGACGAAAAAGAAGGTGCGTTTTCAACACGATAACGCACCGGCACATTCATCAGGAGTTGTTGCCGCCAAAATGCATGAATTACGTTATGAATTTGCTGCCGCACACCCCGTACTCACTCGATTTGACTCCCTGCGACTTCATCTTGTTCCCTACCATGAAGAAATGACTAGCGAGAAAGAAATTTAGCTCAAACGAGGAAGTCATCGCCGAGACAGGGGGGATTTTGGAGAGTTCGACAAATCTTATTTTTTGGAGGGGTAAAAAAAATGGCAGGGTCGTTGGGAGAAGTGTATCTTTCTAAAAGGGGACTATGTTGAAAAATAAAAAAAAAATTTTAAAAAAAAGGTGTCTTCATTTCTAACACGGGTACTTATTCAACCGCCCTCGTATACAAATATCACTTATTTGCAAAATTTATTTGCTCTTAAGTATGATTGTGTTATTGGGCTGTTTTGTAGTCAATAATACTTTAAATTTTAATCGTTTTACTATTGTTCGACCTGATGAATCTCGTTTCAGTTGTCTTATAATACTATTAGGAAATATTTCGTTGTAAATGTGAAAGATTTCATTGAAACGACAACATAACTGGGCAAGGCGATTGCTACTATTTTTTATAAGTTTTTTCATTTTACCGAGAGCATTTTCAAACGGATTTGCCTCATAAGGTAGATTTAATTGTAAGTTTACACATGTGTTAGGTTTACCCCATAAGACCCCTATGAAAAGGCAATCCTCATTTTAATATCTCTACTTTTTTTGGTGGGATTTTCATGAGAAATCTACGGGGAAACGCCTATATCTGCATGCCTCTAATTAGCTATATGTGGTCCGCACTCTACATGTGGCACGCCCCTTATAAAATCTAGTCGGGTCTAGTAAGGAAGAGTTACAGATATAGCTGTAAAAAGGAAACAGTATTGATAGGTATGGTACGAAAATATATAAAAGTAAAGCAAAAATATTGTTTGGAAAAGAGAGAAGGTAGTGAATGATTTAATATAAAAACTAGAAGAAGTTGCTGATTTTTAATGTCTAGGACGTCAGATAATATAGGATTAATAACAATTCTGTTATATTCCAATGGAATATCTGCAGCGGAAATTACCAACGACGTTAATTTATGAGGCATCTCTTCAAGGATTTTCACTTTAAAAATAGCGTATTTTTGTTTATTGAACACCTTACAGCAACAAGCTCGTATTATTGGTTTAATTATATTACCTACTTAGGTCAAATTGTATTTGTATATGTAAATTATATTTGTTGTGCAAATCCTCAACTTATACTTAATTATGCGTTGCACTTAGTGCATAAAAGATGAAATACTTAATAAGGATGTCGTAAAGTTTGCAACGTTTTTACTTTATGGCTTTCATATGAATTATTCTTTGTTTTGGGTTTGTCTATTATGGCTACATAATACTCATTTTTATGATAAATATTTGAAAGATATAGGCGTAATTTGTCAACATGTTTTTATACGAATACCTGCGTATTACATGTGTCAAACTTCTGCAGATATTGCCGTAAGCTGTAATCATCAAGAACCACCCCAAAAACAAAAGATCCGCAATACATATGAAATAATTAATGTATATTTTATGTATAACTATCCAGTAAAATAAAATAAGGGCAAGTGTGATTAGATCTCATTAGTCAAAAAAAAAAACATTGAATTCTTAATGGTCTCTCATTTAATCTCTGAAAAACCTATCTCGACATTTTAAAAGGTGTTGCAATTTTTGTTTGGGGCATACTTTGTTTGTGGTTGAATTTACTTGAAACTTGGTATATATGCTGTTTGATATTATTAATCAAATGAAAAGAGGTTTCAACNCGCAATACATATGAAATAATTAATGTATATTTTATGTATAACTATCCAGTAAAATAAAATAAGGGCAAGTGTGATTAGATCTCATTAGTCAAAAAAAAAAACATTGAATCCCCCATTATTATAGCTCTAAGATTAAAAAGCACTGACTGTCATTCTACAATAAGGCACCAACTATCTATAATATTTGGATCAAAGTTGAAAAATACAGTAGTTACATTTGAAAATTCGCAGTTGATTCTCTCAGTCAGTAGATATCGCTAGCAACAATTTGAGACAATTCATCGTTGTGAGCTATTGGAATTCATATTTGGATTCATAAAAATTAACCCCCATTAAGTAAATTTGTTCAAAATATTGCGTGGTTGACTATTGAATATAAGGAGGTCCAAGTGATCCCGTAGATTTTCTCATTTTAAGTACAGATGTACCGGATAGTGATTTTGTCGGGTACCTTTACGGGACAACTGCGTACGCGGCAAAACTACTTCGGAAAATCTTTTGGGTGTTTCTTTCCCACCAGTCAGAAATGCTGTACTACGCCGGAAAGTAGGGCGGAACACCCTCTTCAGCCTCCTTTCAGGAATCGTGAGAATGGGTGGGTGGTGGTTCCGGTGAGAAAGATGAGACGGACAAAATGAAGACAGAAGAGAATGAAAGGTTATATGTAGAATATTCCTGCCCCAGCATTAGCCTAAGTGATCCAAGGAAACCACAGAAAAACTTGGACCAAGGCAGAGGAACCCGGAATCGGTGCGGCGTCCTCCCGAATGCTAAGGAATGGTCTAAACCTCTAGGCCATGCCGCTCGGTGTCTTCATTCTGACGGGTTTTCCATTAGATACTACCCTCGCCAACGCCCTAAACCACATTAAATCCAGTTGAAAAAATCGTTCAAACAATAAACTAATGAAATTTTAGTTTTAGATAGCTGGCCAACGTGAACTTTTTATTTGTGTGAAATTTTAATTCTTGATTGGCGGATTTTTAACGAGGGGGTTCAGTTGAAACCATT